GCGCATGGCAAGCGTAAAAACCCTACCTGGACCCCCAAAGTATGTAGAATAATGGCCTTTTGGGCTATATATGCTATATTTAGAGGTTAAGGGCCATTATTTTACCTACTTTGGGGGTTTAGATAAACCCTAGACCGTAAACCCGTATCTCTGTGCATCAACACTAAGAGGGCTCATGGTAAACGCTGGTTCAATCCTGAGCCCTGGTAAATTCTGACCGTGTAGACAAAAACCGAGATCCATCTAGGGATTTAGGGTTTAGGGATTTAGGGTTTTAGGGTTTTGGGTCTAGGGTTTAGGGATTTAGGGCCTTGGGATTTCGGGATTTAGGGTTTTAGGTTTGGGGAGGAGTCTAGAATTTAGGCTTTTTTCGGGTTCGGGGTTAGAGTTTAGGGTTTAGGGTTCAGGGTTTTAGGTCTTGTTCGAGGCGCCGAAGTAGTTACCGATCTCTAGGTCGACTTCAGGCACCCTATACCACAACACGGTTAAGGGTTTAGGGCCTAGGGTTTCGGGTTTAGGGCGTAGGGTTTAGGGGGAATGTAACAGTATTGGCTATGATACGGCCCATTTTTCCTTTTTGTGTGACCATCCGAAGTCCTTTGTCCCAAGCGGCAAAATACTGAAGCCTTGAATGCCCAGCATTGAGCCCTTCTTCCCGCAACATCCTCCCCACATATCAACAAGGAAGATCTAGTGGAATATTTGGGTTTCGTGGCGGGCGCAGGTTCAGTGTTACGTGAGGCCGCTAACCCCAAACCCAGAGTCCCAAATTCCTGTTGCAGATCGGGCCGGCAGAGCCGTTTGCAGCTCGGCATCTCTGTAAGAAAGCTGCAGTTCCATCCGTGTGTTTTTTGGAGAATAGGGTTGAGGGGTGGGTGGAGTAGGCCGTTCTCACAGGACAATATCTGATAATGTTCTGCGTGCTACGCGCAAAGTAGTCATGGGTGACGTAGGCGCCCATGTGAAGAGGGTTCAGAGTTCGCATGGCGATTTGCGAAGAGAAGCTTCCTGAAATCCAGGTTCGGCGGTCGTGAGGAGTGCGACCAGGCCCTCGTCCTGAGGACTTCCGAGTACATCACGCAGGCGGGGATGTTTTCGCCATCGCCCCCGTCGCCGTAGGCCCTGCAACGACCTCCCTGCGTCATAGTTTTGGGGGTCTAGCACAGTTCCTGTGAATCCACACTTGTGTGCAGATTATCTTTCTAAACTTTATATAGAATTTTTAGGACGACCGACTGTCTTTAAGGGCATTGGGAATCCCCCTTGTCTCATACCAGTGGGATAAAGCAGCCAAACCAGTGTAATCTATACTTGTAGGGGGCCGTAGACTGCAGGCTTCAACCTGGTAGTGGCTCCAAGTTGAAGCTGTCCGCAGGTTCGTGTGGCCCATCACGGGCAGGTGGTGTGGTGTCACCATCTCCAAGCCATCGAGGCCTCTGTTGAAGTAGGTATGTTGGGGTAGTGCATGACAGCAACTGTCACGATGCGGAAATCAATGTGGCTGATGAAAGTCATGAGGGAAGCTGTGCAGGTCACAACCAGTGAGAATCGCACACGGTTCTTTGGCCGGCAGGCTCTAGCTCCCAGTTCTGAGAGTCACGAGGGGCTGAGCTGGGGCAGAGGGTTTGGGAGGATTTTGGGTTGAGAAATCCTGGGTCATGGTCCTTTGGGAAACAGGCACGGCCAGATGTAGGGCAGCAGATATTTTAGATGGGCCTTCAAGATTCGCATGGGGTATAGAAATTCCTTGAGTCCCAGCTGAAGCAAATGCAGGCTTCCCATCTGGGGGTTATGGACATGGGTGCAGGTTGTTCTGCGGCAGCGAGGGCTTGATAGGCTTTTCTTGCGAGGTCACGTTGTGTGCATAGTTGATGAAGGGGGTGGCATTGGGATTTTAGACGTCATTGTGGAGAGTGTATTGAAGCCGCAATTTCGAGGAGTGAAGCTTGATTTTAAGCAGCTTTGAGGGGATGGCATGTAGACATGCAAGGGTCCAAAACGACAAGAAGCACCAGCAACGAATAGTATTTGTCCCCCACTTGATGAGGCAGTAGGGGCCCACATGGAAGCAAAATGGGTTGGCATGGTCGACATGGAGCCGCAACCTGTAAGTCCTGCTGCTGCCCTTTCCGCCCAGATCCTCACCTTCACAATGCCCAACACCAACAGTACCCTTGCAGACGTAATTAACGCGTGCTGCTGTTCCGGGTCTGGAAGCCTGATTTAAAAAAACCACCGCCAGACCTCCGTATTGCAATTCCTAGCATCACGATGCTTCGATCGCAATCATTATCAACACGTGCCTGCTGAAGATCAGCGCAAACTATTGTGCTGACCGCGGTGTGGGCGTGATCACTCCTTCACCCTGTGATGGCTCGGAAGCCAGAAGCAACCCTGGTGATACTGGTACAGGTCCCGTCGTTTGATTTCGTGCGACGAGCTGACGAGGGCAAGCAGATAGTGAGTCTGCAGACAAAGGTCGACCGCAACGGCGTCAGGAGCCGAATCTTTCAGTGATTGTGCTCGAATTCTGGGAACCTTTGCTATGGATTCCATGCGACTACGTTGGGAATTTAGGATGGCGTGCTTCATGATCTAGCCATAAGCAAGAACAAAACTGGCAGCCTCGGCATTCAAGGAATGTAATTGCTAAGCTGATCTTTTCAGCATTGCTGACACATGCCCAGACCCCTAGCTATTCTTGCAGGGGGTTCGCCCGAGTATGAGCCGATATGCTAGGCCCTTTGGGGCTTTTAACCCTACAAGCTTCTCGCAAGAGCGCGCGATTCAGGATTTGGGGTTTCCCTTTGTAAGCCTGGGGCCCATGTGGCTTTTTTGCGTTTCCTGGTGACCGCAAATTGCGAGGATTCTCGACATCGTTCAAGCCAAGATCCCGCTCATGCTCACGCGCAAGAACCCAGAACCAAGCGAAGGTGTGCATTTGGGTTTCCTGGGATGAGCGTTGAAAGTTTTGGATCCACTTCGCAGGTCCCTGCGAAAACGAGGCAAATCATATTGGGGGATGTAGAAGAGACGACCGACGAATACGCACATGAAATCAAATGAGTCCTATATGGTAGTTTCCCAAAATTAGGGAACTCCAATATAGACCCCAAAATACTATAATCCTTAATATCGGGACCCCCAAAAAGGTACCCCCCAATTTTGGGAAACCCCCACATGAGCCCCAATTTCCGGAACACCCCCGCCCGGTAGCTGCTAAGTGGGTTCATGGCTTGGCTTAGCAGACCGGAAGTAAGCTACAGAGTGGATCCTCGGTTTTTGGGCCTAGGAGGGTGGATGCCTATGATATTCCCTACACAATCCCCACATGAGCTATAGTCTTAACTCCTGACTCCTAATATCATCCTGAATAACCCTTATCATGCTCCCATATATAATCCCAGTTTTGACTATAGCTCCAATATATATATATACACACAAATATTTCAGTTTTGATTTGGGTCTTGTTTTTGTATTCAATTGTGTTCCTCTTGCTGCTGTCATGGTTCATTCCCCGTGTTATTGCATCATGGAGCACTGAATTGTAGCCGACATGTGCAGGTGAGTCTCCAACAGCCAATCTGGTCTGACATCGAAGATGCAGAGTTTTTATGACTGCTGGGTAGGAGCGCTCTGAAATAGGCAAGAAGGGAATTATGCTCAGTATGCTCGGAGGATCTCGGAGGTTTCCTACCTGGCTTCGAAAAGATTTGTTCTAGTGGCCGTCAGTGGGGTCTCAAACCCTATAGGCTCAACGCCGCCACTCTCGTCTCAAACGGTGGGAGAACAGTCCTTCACTGAGAGCGAGAAGTCTTTTGATTGTTCCTGACTTTTTGCTGCTGGTTCTTGAGGAAATCAGAACCACCAGCTTTTCCCTCAGCTTCCTGAAGGTCAAATCGGAAGGGTCTTGGGGTATGCAAGGGCGCCCGGACGTGGCTGCACATCCGCATAGCGATTGTAGAAAGGCTGCCTCCAGAAACGGCAGCTGCCTTCCCTGGGAATTTTGTGGAGCTTTGGACCAAGTACCTACTCTCTTGCGCAGAATCCCAAAGCGAACAAGGGTCTCCCAATCTGCTTCCGACAATCCCTGATTGTGTCCGCTAGAAGTAATCCATGCTCCTCTCCTAGCAATGTCTAGATAAGAGATGATAACCGAGAGGACAGAGTTCAAAGAGAGTTAATGCTCTTTCTCATTGCGCTACGACCAAATCAAATTTGGCCAGTAGAAGAGAGAAATAAAAGGGATGTCCTTTCCTTCCTTGCGCTCCCCAAGACCCTTCACTACTTGTATGTATCATTGCCTCACCCAGAGGCCTACGCATGTTGTCGGACACTGCAAAACTTGTTTTTCGCTGCTCAGACTACTACACTCTTGATTCAACAAACTCCTTCTCTCCTTTTGTGGACATTCTGGGGATATTTTAGAAATTGGGGAGCGCTCACTCTAGTATTGCAGTAATGAGCAGGCCAGGGGTCCAAAGGATTATTCGCAGAAGATGAATTACGGAGCCGGTGCTGGGAACAAGGGAAACCCGAAAATCAGCAATAACTTCCTGCTAGTTCCGAAGAGGAATGCTGGTCTGGCCCTTCTAGATGCTGAGCTTTACATAGCCTGCTGGCAAAAGCCACGCGCACAATCTCAGCAATTCGAGCCATTCTTTGATCGCTGACTTTCCTTACCTTCCTCCTCCAACATGAAGTTTAACCGCAAGTAAGCATACACATATACGAAGGGAGGATCGGAATAGCTTCACGCGAAGCACAAAGAATTGCATGAGTTTTGGTCGGAATGCCTGCCAGGATGACTCTGAAGGATTGCTGTCATTGTCTCCATTATGTCGTAGGGCAAACTCCATAGATTGTTGCAAGCATGCCCCTGGCTGTGAATGTTGCCTGAGGTGCTATTCTTCCTTGTGCTCACCACTACCACAACTACGATGAAGACAACTGCTGCTGCTACTGCTGCTGCTGCTGCTGCTGCTGCTAGTGCTGCTGCCACTGCTATCGCGTCCATACTTGCTGCCCAAGATCCTCATTCATTCAGCGTTGCTCTGAATTGCATGGTACAGTATAGTATAGTACAGTATAGTATAATGCATATTATATTATATTGCATTATACTTTACTGTACCACGATATGCTATAATCATACCACCTTGCTACGGAACATAGGTTAGCAGCATGGAGGCTCAGTGCCTCTTCTCGCAGATGGTGGCGCTCCGACTGTTCATCCACAAGATTTCTGAAAGTGAAGGAGTGGATATGGGTAGCATGGAAGGAATCGCTCAGGGTCGCTCAGAGTTCAGTTAACTTCATGATTTCCTGCACCGCGGATAGGGTACTGCCCCCACTCTGTAAGAATATCTGTAATGTAGTTATATATACGTATATGGGTGGCTGTCAAAATTATGGCCCCCTTTTTGGGTCCCTATTATAGTACGGCACCTAATATTTAGGGTACCCAAAAAAGGGACCATAATTTTGACAACCTCCCATATATATAAAGCACCCAAAGTACAGCTGGTCGTTGTTCGGACTCACTCCTTCACTCCTGCTCTACTGCTCAAGAGCTGCGACGCACCGTTGGCGTCTGAAACAAGTGCTCCAGACGAGCTCGTTGCAAAGGGGGGGGGGTGTATGAATTGTAGTCTGAACTCCTTAAAGGGGGGTTAAGGGGGGGAAATATAGGGGACTATATAGGGGAGTATTGTGGGGCTAATTAAGGGGGGTAATAGGAGTTTAGACTATAGCTCATACGGGGTTATGTCCCCTGATGGTTCACTCCCTCTGAGGATGTGTTGCGGTCACTGTGGCCGCTACCATTGCCATTTCTTGCGCATTCGTATCATCCCCATGTTGCCCATCTTCTGAGTCTTACTTTGATGTTTCCATAACCAGTCCCAATGAAATCTGCAGTCCTTGCATCGTTGCTATTCCACGAACTTGGGTTTCAAGAAGGGCAGCACTCTAATGGTTTAAACAACCGCCATGGAAGGACTCAAAGCCTGAGGGTTCCAAATATCACCCAGCATGAGATGGCCAGTCGTCATTCCGACAAAAATGAGGTTTGCATTTTTTAAGGCCAAAGGCCAAGACAGTTCCAAGCCAAGGCTTGCACACTTCCAGTCTTTGATTGGGCATTCATCAATCTTAGAAAGACCTTCCAAGAGAGACCCAGCAGTTCGAGAAAGCCCGTGCGTTGGGACTTCAGTGAGGCTTAAGTACAAGGCTCCTCGGAGAGACACCCCTAAGTCTGAGACGCCCAATTTGTGGCCGTGGCTGGGCTCCAGAATCTTTGCGCAATGTCTTGTTTGTGGGACACGTCTTGCCATTCATGCGAAGTATGTCTAGCCAATGTCTACGGTGAGCTTTGGCTGTTACAATGACAGCGGTCCTACAAATGCGCAATATGGTCAGTGCCCCTCCACTACATTGAGCACTCCTTTTGCAACGTGACAACGGCGCAGCATGAGAGCCCTGGCAAAAATGTTGGGGATTCTTTGTGCGGACAGCGGGTTCAAAGTGCCGATCAAGCCTTAAACTTCACCAGCCGAGTATTCCTGGAAGATGAAACCCTAAACTCTAAACCCTAAACACCTCTTTATCATCGAGTCATGTGGATTTTTGCCAGCCTGTCACCTAGTGTGAAGCTCGGGTCCAGGCAGCAGCCGCCCAATGTCACTCGGACCTGCAGTTGGCACTTGGGTAGGATTTGGGTTTAAGGCTTAGGGTTTTGGCGTTCCACGACCTCTGTAACTTCCAAGATTCAATAGGCCCAAGACATGCTGCGAACTACGCAGCGTCCCTCAATGACCCTGCTAAGCCCCTGTAGCATGAGTCTCGCCGTATGGCTTGAGATCCCATCGCCAACCCCTTCTTCTTCCTTTCGTCAGTTGGTCTAGAATAAGCCTGGATCTTCTAGTGTACTACCTGGCCTAGGGCATAGGCTGAGCCTGATCCGAGTCGAAATTTTTGCGCCCTGTGTTGTGTTGATTGACCGCGTCAGTTTTATTGCGCCTCATTCTGTCTGTTGTCAACGCGGCCTGCTTCAGGTGACATGGTTACCATGAGAATGTTGAGTCTAAGTGTAAGTCTCCCGTGAAGTTGTGATTCTGCTTCTTATGCTTCTTCTTGCGGAGTCTGACCAATCTCAGGAAGATCCTGGTCCTGATGGCAAGTGTGGCATGCGGAGCGTACGGGCAGGACTTGGGGGGACTTGCTGATGTTCAATTTTGTCCAACTTTACAAGTAGCGTCCTTCTCGAAGCCGAGGGCATGCTTAGCTTCGGGAGCCTTGCCGTTTGGGACCTTTGTAGGATGGTATGTTCTGGCCGGGCTGGGTCTTGTGTAACTTTTTGCCAAAAAGCCAACTCTTCATGCACAAGACCTCGCTGGAAGGGATCCCAGAACTGTCCTAAGACAGACCGATCCCCAAAGTCCTCGTCAAACCTCGCACAAGGTTTGTGTAATGCCTTGCGTTCTGATGCCTTGGCTGGCACAGTCGGCCTTCAGGAGCTGAAGTGGGTGCAGATGCCGTCGAAGGAGTGCTGGCCACAAGCAAGGCCAATTTAGCCAGCCCGGGTTCTGGGTTTTGCAGGTTGAAATGAGAGAGCTTCTCAAAGAAACCACTTAGAGTCTGACCTAGAGTATAGGGTCCTTTTATAAGAGGGCTCTGTACAACTCCTTACTGATGTTGTCTCACATAGTCCAGGGGCCATGATTGATGTTTATGGTTGTTTTGGCGCGCTCATGTCGAAACTAGCCACACAATGAAGGTTGCGTGGAGCCTCCTGGTAGGACTTGTTTATGTTGTTCCCTCCCTGTGTCGAATCCTGAATCCTTTCTCCCTGTTGAGCTTTGGAACTGGATGGTGGGCTGGCCCTGGAGCAGAGTGTCGACCGTTGCCTTCCTTCACAAGCTCCTTGTTTCCT